GACGAGCCAAGCATGATTCTTAGATGACTAGACGGACACCATGCCGGCCAACTATTTGGGTTACACTGAACTGTTTAATTTGAGACTAAAATTTAATATTAATATTTACAATCTCCCTCAGAATGATCCTAACCCCAACAAATGTTTAAACTGTGCAGTTTAATTGTTTGTGTTCGTCCGAATACAAAATAATTGCAAAAGAATTCCTATATAACTGGGTGAAAGTTCAGTCGAATTTGAAATGTGGTGACCGAGAAAACACACACACACACCCTTGGGAGAAATTGTACCCAGAAACACTAATCATTGAATCAGCATCAGCAATGCATCAACATTTTAAAGAAAAAAAGGCATAGAAACATTAAATATTCCAAAGAAAGTTCGTCCGAGGCAGTCTGTGGCAATTGCCCGTTGAACTGGCAGCTAAAGACGTTGTGACACTTAATACCACCATTAGTTTGTTCTCTGCAGCAAGAGAACACACACACACACACATCATTATCTAATTGCCGAACACTTTCTATGGAAACTTAATTATCCATCAAATGGATTGATCATTTTCAATTTTCATTTTCGGTTTTAGTTTCGGTACAGATATTTCCATGAGACCGATCGAACAGGGTCAAGCGAATGATCGACCATCCGACCGGTAGCAGTGACAGTGTTGCGTCTGCAGCACCAGCTTAGCAGTGCCTAAAATTTGCTAATTATAGTAGGAGAGACTAAATTGGCCAGAACAAAAATGAAAGTTGCCCAAGCATATTACAAATATCGCCCTAGAAGCGGGGTAATTGAAAAAATGTGTATTTCAAAACTGTCCAGCAAGCCAAACGCTCAATTGAGATCACCCATTGTGCTCATTTGAATTGCTTTCTTTACTCGTTACCCTCTCCTGTACTAGTGCCCATCGATATGCATAAATCATTCTAAGTAAAAGAAACAATTTCAGATGAATGTCGGTCGGTCGGTCGATCGGTCGCTTGGGCGATACTATCTGTTTTGCCGAGGTTCGTTGTCTAAGGTTATTTACCTCTATAAAATTTCTCTATTGTGTATTTTTGTTACCCCGCTCAATCTCTGAATGTGCTTCGTCGGGCTATTATGTGTTTCATCGACTATTGATGGAATTTTGTAAAAAGTTTGTGCTCTTGAAGATGTTATGGCGGTTTGCGTGTGTATGTGTGTGTGTGTTAATCCACAATCGTACGAATTCACACACAACAGAAACCTTTTAAATTTGTTCAAGAATATCATTCATCTAGCCTGAATTTAAGTTTCAATCAATTATATAAAGCTATAATTGAGATTGAAATCGAAATAAAGAATTCCAAACAAATTCTGTGTGGCGCTACACTTGGTAACATAGCTGATGTTTTATTTTTATTATTTCTTTACCTCACGCATAATATGGGGGGGGGGGTATATTAACCAAGAAAGTATATATTCACGATCACCGGAAAATCCGATTGAGCAATTTCTGTCCATCCATCTACTGTTATCGCGCTATCTTCCGAAAGAATTGAAATAGAGAAAGATCTAGTAAGAAGATGGGCTATATCAGCCAAAGTTTTTTCGTATAGCCCCCAATTTCAATTTCGGTGAAAATGTAAGGCGTTTGATCGATCACCATACCAACCATATATCCGTACTTATGTTTAGAATGTGTGCCAAATGTCGAATGTATGTACCGTATTTAATTCCTTTACAGTTGGGAGTGGTTTAATTTTCGTAGTTAACCAAAACAATGAAGCAACATAACAACATGCTTACCGTACGCAAATTGTTTGTACATATTTGACGCTATTGTTCCGTATTCGTCTTAATGTTTATAACAAAAACCTGAAAACCTATTTACACACACACACACACACACGCACACACCTTATTTTTGGATTTTGCTATTGTGATTTAATAGTAAATGGTGGCGGAAATAAATGCCGTCAATGTGTTCTTAAGGCAAAGGTGTCCGATTTTGCCACTAACAAAACACTGGAAGGGTTCTGAGCAACGGTTTCTCTAAAAACTGCCTAAACACACCAAGAAACGATGGAATGTCAAAACCTATTTATGAATTATGCCGCAAAGTAAATATAATTTTTCAATTGCACCATAAATCACCATCATGACCAAATTGTATTTTTATCGTTATGTACATACGTGAGAACTCCAATGGTAATCTAGACAAAAACGTACATTTAACAATCAATAAAATTGTCAGCACCATTGATTTGTTGCAACCCATCCGTTGTTGCTTTGGGAATTTTAATGAGGTCCACATTTAAGAAAAAATTATGCGTGCACCCACAATGTTCCATCTAACATCGACGTCAACATAAACAAAATGAATCCACCTTCATGTTTATCCAAACTCTGATCCCTCTTAGTGGGCACAAATGAGGAACGTACCCAAAAGTAATGACACTACAAGGAAGCCACAAAATGAGGCACATTATATGTGGTAGGTCAACTCTTTCTAGGCACTGATATTGTGTTATATAATGATAGCAATACCAAAATACGTCATTTAAAATAAAGACTTGTGGCATTATCCTATCTCATAACCAGTGTGACCGCTGGAAATTTTCAAAAAGTATCACAAAAAGTATAATTTCTTAAAAAAAGTGGCACATTTCACTTTAAATGGTGGCACAGAAAGTGGCACAATTTATTTCACATTTTATTTAAAACAAGTAAAAAAGTTGTAAGTTCGGCCGGGCCGAACTTTGAATACCCTCCACCATGTGATAAAAATTTTGCAATTTTCACAAAAAAAAATAAAATCGGTTAAAAATTCTGTTAAAATCTTAAAAATACCGAATGTAGCCGTATATTAGGGTCTGTACGACGACGTGGGCCTGCATAGGCAAATTTTGTCATAAGCTATTATAATATTTAAATGCGAAACTTGAAAAAAAAATCTGTTTATGATGTAGCTAGAATAAATAAAATACCGAATATAGGGAGGTGCATTGGGGTTATAAAACGTGGACCTGCACAGACAATTTTCCGGCATAGGCTGTAGTATCCATTACGAAGTTCAAATACAGAATTTGAAATAGTTCCTTAAATAATGTCGCTAAAATCTTCAAAATACCTAATATCGGGGTACCGTTATATAGGGGACTATAAGAAGGCGTGAACCTACACAGACAATCTCCTGTCCTATGCTTTAGTATCTATTACGAACTTCAAATACCAAGTTTGAAACAATTCCGATAAAAAATGTCGCTAAAATCATCCAAATGCCGAATATCGGGGGTACCGTTATATGGGGCTATACGAAGACGTAGACCTGCACTTACTTCATTTCGTTCGGAAGCTAGACTGATTTCCACAGACGGACAGACGGACGGACATTGATAAATCTACGTAGAATTTTACTGCTGAGCAAGAATATGTATACTTTGTGGGGTCTAAAATATATATTTCGAGGTGTTACAAACGGAATGACAAACTTAATATACCCTTCCTACTATGGTGGAGGGTATAAAAAAGGTGGCACAATGTATAAAAAAGTGGCACAAAAATTCAAAAAAGTGGCTCATTTAGGATCAAAATAAATAAGTGGTACAAAGGTATCAAAGCCCAAAAAAGTGGCAAAATTGATACTTTAGTGGCACAACGGTCACGCTGCTCATAACATTTGTCTGTAAAAGTGCAACATATACATACACATAAGCATATGTGCCACTCTTAGTTCTACAAGTAATAAAAGCTTCATGCCCACAAAAAAAATACGAAGGATTTTCCGATGCCCATACATGTCGTTAAACTGCAATTAATGTTCGCAACAGTGGTTGAGTGCATGATGTACGCATACATGTCCAATCAGAAAAATCCTAAGCTCAAACCCTTGATAAGATGTCCATGTTAGGATGGTGTTTAGTATATCCTTTATTTGCTACTGAATTGATTATTTGCTGGATAGAAACTTCCAAATGTCTTTTTTTAATGAATTTTGATTTGCTGAATCTGAATATATTCACTCATCATTGAAATTATTTCAATTGTACATTTCTTTTCTTCGAATTAAAAGACGGTGCGTTTTGCAAATCTTCTATTTCGATACCATTTTTATTTCACAAGAAGGAAGAAGAATTCGTCAATTGAAGAATGCAATCTCGCTAAAAAATGTGGGCTATCTCATCAAAATACGCAAAATCGAGTGTTATTATCGCGTTGATGGAATTTCGCTTAACCTTTGGAATATGGGGGTTACATACAGTTTTGAAACTTTTCCATTAACTTTGAAGACGGAACAACAACATGCTATGCAAGTAGTTTGGGCCTTCAGAGCGAATCCGAATCCTGGAGCCATCGCATAAATCAATCAAATTCAAATTTCGAAATTGAGTTCAAATCAGGGGTCACCGGTTAATGATTTCCGTATTACCTGTATACGTCCATATAGACAGTTTTTGGGAAATTGACTCCCACTTGAAATACCTTCAAAATACCAATATTTTCGAAACACCGATATATAAACGCGATACCAAAACCTTGACCCATATAGATCATTTCAAATGGCGACTTAGCTTAGAATCTGTCTCAATCTCATTACGTAATAGAATCAACTTAACAAACAAAAGGGCTCGTCGGAACCGATTAAACAATATTCTCAAACGTAAAAAAACGCGGCTGAACAGTCACAGTTGACGAAAAACCAAAACCAAAAAGTCAGACAGACATGTAGCTCTGTTAAACATGCGGAATAAACATTTAATCCATGAGGCACGTACTAAGCTGTTTATTATTATTATTGTTTACAAACATATAGGTAGGCAGGTACCTATGCGTGCATGTGTGACTCAAAATTTTGTGCCGGTTATTGACATTTGCCGTTGCTTGATTAAGACAAGTGATAAGCTGTGTGGGGGTTTGCTTCTCCATGGAAAATATCTTTCGCCAGTGTCCTTCTCAGGTGTTCATCGAAAGAGAGATTCAATGGCATTGATAATCACAGATAACAACAAAAGGTAGCCAATCAGTCAGTACTCTTATTGTTGAGGGGGTTCATTTAATTCATAGCCAAGCGGATGACCATTGCCAATCAATTCCTACCGATGTAACCGTTGTTTCGGCGGCGCATTTGTCGGCGGTGTTGTATGTAAACAGATAATTCTATTGTTTCGGTGGTTGTATCCAACTTGTTGTACGAACAAACATCATGTTCCATGTCATACCAAAGATAAACTAATGTTGGTTGGTATGTTGACTTGGCTAACACCAACAGCGTCTTGGTCGCAAGCAAACAGTCTCTGACGGTTGAGCAAAGCGACAAGATGAACGAACGGTCCGCATAAACCCCGTCAAGAAAAGTAATAAAAAAAAAAAAAAAAATAAATAAACAAAGAGAAGAAAAATCGCGTGCCAGTCGAGTGTAGAAACGAACGAAGTCACAAATGCGAAATCGAATCTGTGCGAAAATAAAAAATAAGAAAAACTAGACTAATGTTACCGATGCTGCTGGCAGCAGACACGAAGCGACGACAAAGTGAAGCTTTTGCTCTCAGAATTTTTGTTTAGACCAAAAAGTACGAACCCAGACGAGCACTTGGCTGTGGACGTTTAGTCGGATTGCTGGTTGCATCAGCCTCTGCAGCAACCACGGCAACTTGCAAAAACGGTAGCACATCAGTCTGGTGCGTTTGGTTTGGTTTGGTTCGGTTCAGTGATTGAGTGTTGCAGCATTTATGCAGTGCTAATGCGGATTAGTTAGGCATGGTCCGTCACGAAAGACGGTCGAGGGCCGCCAATGCACTAAGAGTGTGGCCCGAACGGACAGTGAAAACGCGGTCTTTACGAAAATCCTCCCACCACTATTGGTTAGCTGTAATTGTGTGCTTGTCTGCCCTTGCGTTGCATGTGCCGCGATTTGTGTCCGCGCTGGATGCCGAAGCGCTGATAGCACAAAGTGCTGGGCCGAAATTTGGAGAACGTTTAATGCCGCGTAAGAAAAACGTGAATGCGCATGTCGGTAGGTCGGGCGTTAAGAATCTCGGTTACGGGCACTCAGTGTCAAACCCGGCCACCGACACTAGTGTAAATAGTCTGTTGAATAGAAGTAATTATATCGTAAGTTTAGAGAACGACGATGCTAAAATAAGACAAAAGAGTGATGTTATAGTGGGTGACGGTGATAGCCACAGTCCCGAAGCATTTACGCTGGCTGTGGAAACGCTGGACGATCGAGCACAGGAAACCATCACCATGGCACCAAGGCGCCGCAAGGGAAAGCAATTAAATCGCCGCGAAGATGTCAATGTCGTGGATACAGCAAATAATCTTGTGTTAGCCAATGTATCCAAGGCAGATCGCCTGGTGGAAATGTCCACCGAGTTCTTTCTAGTGCCAACAAGTTCTACACACAGCCCCCCGAGTACACCGGCAGCGGGAAAAGTCGGCCCGTCTAAGGGACGCGGGCTGCCGAACTTTATACAACCCTCAATATCTGCACCAACGGGTGCTCCACGTTCTGTGCTCATAGTGGCGCCCAAATCAACATTATCTGCAAATAACTACTCGACACCACCATCTGTGGCATCCACTCATCCCAGTTTCACCGGTCTACGTAAAGAACCCTGGGTAGTGCCCGTTCTGGTTCTAGCGTCTCTGACAATGCTGATGATGGGAGCTTTCGAAATGTTTGTGCTCTTCAAGGCCTGGAGAACCTCGCCGTCACGGAGACATTTGTTTTTGGGTCAAATGTTGTTGCTGGGCCTGTTTGCGTGTGCGGGATTGGGGGCCATAATTACCGCGCAACCGTCACTACTCAGTTGCGGCACAATACGCTTTGGAGTGGGCGTTTCGTATGCCCTAGTCTTCGCCGCTCTTCTAGTTAAGTGCGTGTTTCTTATTAGCCTAAATGGTGGCGTATATTTGCCAGCGCCATACCAAGGTCTGCTGCTACTGTTTGCAGTGCTAATACAAGTCGCCATTGGGGCTCAGTGGCTGATAACATCGCCCCCGGAACTATTCACCCTATCAGTGCCCCTGGCCGGCAACAATATTTTGGCCACATCCATGCCTGCTCAGAGTGAACGGTCTGCCTTCTCATCAATATTCCAGCATGCCACTAATGACGTGTACGCTCGCGTAACAGCAACCGGCACACTTCTCATACCCCTGTGTAAAACACAGTTCTCGGAATTCCTGTTCTCGCTCATCTACATAGTATTTCTGATTGTGTTCGTGGCTGTTTTGGCAGTCAAATCACGAGGCATACGCGACAACTACCGAGAAGCCACATACATTGGGTTGGCCATTGGTGGTGCCATTCCCATTTGGCTCGGCTGGATGTTGTGCGGCTTGGCCGTAGCCGAACGGCACAAGGACGCATGCATTGCCTTTGGCCTGGTAGCCACGTCGGCAACGGTATTCTTGGTCATGTTTATGCCCAAGGGAAGACAGCTGGCCGCCATGGGCAAGGAGGGCCTATACGTAGAGGACAGAGAGGAACAATTCAGTTCACTGAGTCGGGGCGGATCTGGATACTCACCTTCGTTCTTTCACTTCAAGCCGATCAAGTATGGTGTGATGAGTGGCGGAGGCGGTGCATTTCAAAATTCTGCTTCAAACTCGGGAAATGGCGTCAACATGAAACATTCGCCCAATGCTTTAAACGCAGGAGGTAAGCCGAAGCTCTTCTTTTCTTATTGTTGTCAATCGTCTCATCACTCATTTGTAGATTGTTTTTGCCAAAAGGTCCATCAAATGCGCGAAACACACTTCAAATCAGTGAGAATATGCAATTGAAGGGTTTATCAGAGGAACAAATTTAATCACGGTTAGATTTTTTATACGTTCCGTTAGCATGATTTTAGACAGTGATCCATTACCTTGGTCCATGACTACTTAATTGAATAACAGAACCCTAAATTTAATTTATTTTTTAAGTGGAATATTTCCAGTTCACATTTGTTAAAATTTCAACACTGAATGTGAATTTAATGAGGGCTATAATGTGTTAACAAACACCACCTCAACCTTTGTCATTCTGACCGCTGTTTGGCATTGTTCGCACTTTTGATTTTCATTCAAGTATTTACCACACCGACAGACGGACAACACAAAAAATTGACACTTTGTTAAAGAGGTGTTAAAATTGTCTGTTTGTTTGTTTGTTTGTGTCACTTCTCCGAGTCTTTTTCCCCCGCCTGTTGTAGCTGCTAATCGTATCGCCTTTGTGCTGCAACGAAGTAAATTAAAAGCAGAGTACCGACAAAACTAAATACCACAAACCCCCCCCCCCCCCCTTTCCCTTACCACTCCTCTACGGTTTGTTATTATAGCATTTCAACATTTATTACAGGCCTTTATGTTGTGTTTTCTTTTTTTTTTTTTTTGATGTTTTGATTTGGCAAATACTGGGGTCGTTATTATTAATTAAAACCATTATGTAAGAGAGCATTTAAACGCTTTCACTATCGAACACTGAAAACCTTAAGAGCCCGGGTGTTATTGGCTTCTGTGTTTCTTTTGTTTTCTGGGCAGTGGATCTTTTTTTTTTTGGTTTGTAGTTAGGAATAGCAATGTGTGCTGAACACTGAACAGGAGCATTTCCCCCTGCCTTTGCGTAACGTGTGAAAAATAAATTTTACCGCATGAAAGGCGAATTCAAAACAAAAAGAAAATGCATCTTCCATTCATTCCCCGGCTGACACTATCTGAACATATCCAAAACACACACACACACACAAACACACAGGCACAATGTTTGATTACACAATAACAATAATGCCGATGATAATAATACGAAAAGCAAAAAGAAACATGTTTCGCTTGGTATTTATGCGCATACCAAGACCTCCCCCACCTGTGCGGCTGGGCTGGCAGGCAGGCTGGCTAACAAACAACAGCTAAACAAGGAAGTAAAGTGCCGAGTACTTAAGTAGCAGCAACTGTTTAACATGTATTACGGTAACAGACAAAATACTTGCAATTTGTAAGGCATGCTACACAGCCGCTCTGCAAGTCTGCAGCCGCACCACGGCAACAGCCAACGCATAACAATCTGGCGCATAACAACTGAAGTCAGAGTAAGCATAATCATGGCCATTACAGGGGCTAGATAATAGTACTTCGTGGAATGTTTCAAATCCAAAACCAATTCGATTCACTGGGGATGCGATTAAAATAAAATCCACAAAACAAAAGACTTAAGACACAAACTTAATGTGAAGTGTTGACACTAAGTGCCTCGTGAATGATAGATTGGTCGGCCGATCGCTCGCTCGCTGTATGGATGGACAGTGGATGAGTGGATTGAACCATCGGTCACATTGAAGTATGCTGTTGATTTCCAGTTCTAATTGGTTGTTTTACGACCTGACTTCTTCAACTTCTGTGTGTCTGCCTCCGTGGAGCTCAAAAGTGCCTGAAACCTTAACATCACAACAATTGACCTTCAGATAAAAAAATAAACAATCCGTGAGCATAATTCGTGCGTTGTTAAGCCGATTAACATATAAACACATGCACAGCTCCACCTACGACGCCCACACATTGTCCAGTGTGTGTTCTCCTACAGTTTATAATGGCTAAGTACATCATTATTTGCGTTGTAACATTGCCGCTTGCCTGAAATAATTCCATCTGTATTTCCATTTGACCTCGGAATAAGTCCCTTTTTGGAGTCTGCATGAAAATCCTCCATTATTGGCCATAATACATATTACATCGATAACAAGTTCCAGAACACACTGAGGAGTTAGGGTGTTTTGCATTGTGGGAAACAAATCTTTTCATTCGACGTTTAGCCACGTTTACGACTGTATGCCTAGACATTGTTAGCTGGAAACTACAGTTAAATATTCCATATTATAGGCTCATGGCTTCATGAATAATCATTGCACTTACTGTGTCTCAGCTCCGCCATGGAAGTAAAATGCGCTTGCTCATGTTCTCTGAAATCTAAACTCGTTAAACATTTTCCAAATTATTATGTCTAGTTGTGGTGTTGTTATTGTTGTTGTATCTTCCACAATTTGGTGGTACTTTCCCCTCATTTTCTTCTTCGGCCAAACCTGAAGTTGGGTTGGGGAGCTCTCGCAGTCTCTCACCGAGTCTGCTGTAAGAAACCCAAAAAGAATCTTTCTTTTTTAATGAAGTATTCTTTCATTAGTTCTGCTGTTAAATAGTGCATTTTGTAGGAATGGAGATAATTATGAGCGTGTGTGCTTTTCGAAGCAGCTTCTAATTCTTCGTTTTGCTTTTCTGCTTCGCCGTGGGTTGCGTTGTCTACGTCGTGGGTATTGTGTTTGGAAAGTAGCTCTCGAAAAGGAAAAGTGTTTGCTTTTTAGGTGTTTTTAGAGCACAAAGAGAGCTGATTCTGCTGCTCGTTGCTCGCTTGAGGTGTAAACACTCAGTTTAAAATGCCACATTTGAGGGTTCCGACTGTTCCCATTGTTAATTAAATGATGTTATAGATTTCTAATAGAAAGCACCGAAAAATTACAGTTAAGTGGCCCATTGGGGTTTTATTGATCTCTGCTTCCAGCTTTTGTCTGTTTAAGAAACAATACAAGTCGTTTGTCATTCAATCTTCGGTATCTGTTATACAAATAAAAAAAAAATGATTTGTCGAGAATGAGACACTCTTAATTCCAATGGAATTGTTCTGGCCTCGGCAAAAGCTATGCATTCCCAATACTGCGATCGAAACGAAAAGCCCATGGAAGAATGTCAAAAAGTAAACGGTGATTGAAAGAACTACTTTTTTCCCAAAACAATTCCAGTTGATTGCCGATTTCCTGAAGGCACATAAGCGACTCCATTGGTAGAGAGGAAAACAAAAACAAGAAATTGTGTTTTACAGGCATTGGGACACCTATCATATTATGGAACAAAAGGGTTGTTTATTGGACTATATTTGAGACCTTTGATATGCCACTGAAGTTTTTGGTCGAACAGTGGAATTAACTGTCATTTTCATCCCACTAGATTTTCGACGACAGAAACAGCTCGGCTCGATACTTTTGCAGATGTTCGAATTTTTCCGATGAAGTAGATCCAAAGAGATCTGTATGGAAATTCACATATGTAGTCTAGGAGTTGTAGTTCCGAAGTTTTAAGAGAGGCCACGTAAAGGTCCACCTACTGTTGACATTTAAAATACTCAGTGCACACTTCACCAACCACACTGGTTCGAGCGTACACCAAATTTTTAAATGCAATAACTATGTGTGTCAAATGTGTGTATACCATCGCCCCGTAGAGGCCCCCACCGAATGGCCATCCCAAATTTCGGTATAGAAAATAAAACCGAAATATTATTAATCTCATTGGTGGTTGATTTTCGAATAGGATTCTCTTTTTTTTTTTTGTTTCTGTCTGCATAGCCACGTTCGTAACCACCACCGTCATCGGCCACAATATGATGATAATTCGGCTCCATGTGATTGCTGTATTCCAAAACTCCGGAGCTGCCATCGTTGTAAATAACCTTGAACTTTAATGTTACAAGACAAGCGGCCACTTGCTGTTGCATTGGCAAATATGGCAGCAACCGGCCAGGCTAAAACCAGCCAGCTAGCCAATCGTCTATCCAAGCATCGCAATCGCAAAGATACAGAGAGCAAAAAGAATGAAGTACATGTCAGTCATTTTTTTTTCGCATTGACGATGTTTTTCTTCCCTTGCAGTTGTATTTTGTTGTTGTTGGAGTTGTTGTTTTTGTTGTCGCTGTTGTGTGTGCTTTACTGAAGATGATGATAAATAAACTGATGATGCGATGATGTGGTTTTCATTAAGAGACCTCTCAGTATCTGGTCTGAACAAACCGAAAATCAAATAAGCTGAGATCGCATATTTCGATGACAAAGTACAAGCTAAATCACTTAGATGGCGAGCCGCGGTTGAACAGATCTGGACCAAAAATGTACGTTTGAGAAATTTATTGCGGCTCGTTTACACTTCTCATCATCAGCCAGGACACCACACCCCCCCCCCTTTCCTCGTGCCTTCATCCTTCTGGGATCTGTGCTTTCCGGCCGCTCCCGTTTACAAGTGGTTTCTAAACGCTGGCAATGTTCGATGACAACAATCATTTAGCCCTGAGGTGAGGTGGTGGGTTCCTCGAATGGATAGTGCCCTGTTAAGTGGGCAATAACTTGAGCGGCATGAGTGAATGGTGGAAATGTTAAGAGGTTTTCACTTCTCTATTAATTGCAGTTTAGTTTTAATGCGGAAAGGGGCGTGATTGCAGCGTACGTTGCGCAGTCAAGTAGCCCCCGTTGCCAATTCGCACAGTGCCGGTCGGAAGTTATAGTAATTGTCTACAACTTATAGAAATGACCACCCAGCGATATGGCCAAATACTTGTGTTCTTGCCATTTTGCCCGCCTCGTTTGCTCGTTGCCAATTATCGAACGAACTGTTATGACTTCGCCATTCGGGCACCCAATTGAAAGGCCAATAAGGCTTGAATGCCAAATTGTGTGATTCTTTTGATATTTTAAACGTTATTTGTCCATTTTTTTGTCCTAGCCATTAGCCCATGTCGAATGGGCAACCGGTGTTGAAAGTGAACGCCAGTACGATGTGTCCCAAGTCATTTGTCCATTTTTTTGTCCTAGCCATTAGCCCAAGTCGAATGGGAAAACACTTTCGAATATCAAACTGAACAATTTG